TTTATGATTTTCCCATATGACATTTTTCAGATGAAATCAGAATCGCCGTCACCAGATTGTTATTGTGAGAGACCAATTTCCAATTGCCGGTCAAGTTTGTCATTTGCCCCCTCTCTATAGTCTTCTAGCATTATGCTTGTTGTTAGTGTTTTCTATATCTTCATTTCGTGAGTAGTCACTCTAGCTTGCAGCCCAATGAGCTTCTCATACAAACGTCTTTAAATTGTTGGACGGAACCTTCAATGGAAAAGTGGTAAGATTTCATATGAACGCTCAATACGTTTGTAAAAACAGCTTTGGGTGAATGACGAAAACGATGGAATGACCAGCTGTACGAGATCTGCGACGACATTATTATCGCATTATTTAGCAAAATAGAGGACAACATATTCCAGTTGAAAGCAGACCAAAGGTCAGATGGGGAACGATTTGGTGACCCTTGGTTTCCGCAACTGGCGCAGAACAGCACAAAAAAGAAAGACATGCGCTCGGCATTGGTCACTCGGCTAAATGCTGTAAAAATAATTTCGAATTACGGCTTCGCATAAAAATCCGTGAGCTTTTCGAATTGCGGCTAAAAAACTTGTGGGTCCCTTCTTAAGTTGGAAAAGCATCAAAACTTACAGCGCACAGTTTTAAGGGCAGAATGCATATGTATTCAAAACCGATTCAAAATTCGAACTGAAAATTTCTTTTGCGTTTTTCTCTGCCCAAGAAGTAGATTTCGCGATCAAGAGTCTTTAAATTAAGAAAGATTTGCAGATTTTTTAACACCAAAGCATGCAAAATGTATATGTAGAAAAAATTTTTTGCGATATTTTACTGCACAAAATACTGCAGAGTCTTCTAAATATACTTTAAGTATCGCGTCATGTTGGAGTCAACCGGTGAAGGTGGTAACTTGCTGAAATTATTTTTAAGCAATGAAAGACAATAGTTTTAAGAAAAATATATGAGGCATACACACCTCTCAGAACTTTTTCTATTTATTAAAATTTCTTCTCAGAATGCACATAATGAATCTTAAAATCTGTACTCTTTTATATGTAATTGTCCGATCCCACAATTTTCAAAACATTAAAATTCGTTAAAATAACTCAAAAACTGAGATACTAATTTACATTCAAGAGGACAAAGATATATTCAAAGGGACATTTCTTACTCATTCCAGCTTGAAATTCTGATCATTTTATTTTAAGTTTAGTGGGTCTATACTTTCTCTTTCTGGTCCTATATAAACATACTTCGGACGAAAATTGAAGGTATAAAAAAAAAAAATAAATAAGTGTTCAGTCTACTCCGAACCGGCTTATCCAGTTCATATGATATACATTTTTGAAAGTCATTGTATCTATCAATAATCCAGCCGGATTTTGAGTAGAGCCGTATGGAGTTTTGGAAAATTATACCTAGAAGTCTTCTGGGGAAAAATGAAATTGAAACATGTATTAGGAAGAATTAATATGTAAAACTTCCAAAATATTTATTATACGACCGCTTTCGCGTACACTTCAATATATATATATATATATATATAACCACAAATAAAGCTCATCATCAAATAAAACGCCTTCTTATATACCCACTCGAATACTAGCAAAGCGTCGTTATATACCAGCGTCGCTTTTGTATTTGGTTGGCTAAATCCTTCGTGTGGCACCTAATCGCATGTAATGCGCGCGCATTATCTACTCTCTTAACTGCAACAACAAGCATAGCTAAAATAAGCAACAATGTTGTAGTAATAAAAATCGACAAAAAGGACCAACAAACCTGAAATCGAGCACATTTACATGTACAGGCATTTAAGCAAACCTACACAAACACACAAGGAAACAGCAAGGAAAAGTGAGACAACAAAAAGCGTAACTTGCAGGAGAGTGGGTGTTGCTTTAGCTTATAGCCGCTGTCTGTGCACTCGTACGTACATAGCTAAAAACATGCATGCTGAAGTTAAGCGTCACTCGAAATTTCGCCAACACCAACATCAAAAGCAAAACAACAACAACAACACTAGCGACAGCTCGTGACGCCCGACACCACCAACGCCAACGCCAACGCCACCATTCCCATTACCCTCACCAAAGCTACACGTTCGTTGCCTTGTTCGTGTACATGTTTTTAAGCATGACTGTATATGGCTTGTTATCTGCTTGCCAAACGTTGTTGTAGTATATCCGTTGACTCTTTCGCACTCGCATAATCATATCCGTTGGTTGGTTGGGTTAGGGTGGTTGAAACCGGAATCCCAAAATCCACCCATTCATCCAACCATTTACTTGTAATAAACAACGCAGCGCAGCGCAATAGCGGACTCTTTCGTCGGGCGCGCAAATCCAAACGAATAAGCAGCTGCGAGAGTGCGAATATGCAAAGCCAACCGAATGTACGAACAAACAAACAAACAAGCAAGCAAACAAGCGAACGAACGAACGAACAGGTGCTGTGGGAAGTTGAGAGCGAAGGAAAGCACATGAGATTACGAACATATGTTTATGTATGTAAATATGTAGGTATGTAAGTGTGACACGGTGAAAAGTAGTAAATAAATAACTTTTAATTATTGTTTAATTAAAAAATGTTGAGAAATAGAAAAACGTACTATAAGCAAAAAGGATGCTAGAATGATTAATTGCTTAAATTATTTAAAATGATTCAATTCATTTTGTTACATTTTTTTTGTTGTCCGGTACTCCCTTATCAATTTGAGAGAGTTTATCGTTTGCGCGCTTGTAGTTGTAGGCTCTCTAAATGAGTCTAATCTCCACTCTCTTTCTTAGCATGGTATGTGTACACCAATACACAGGCGACACTGAGAGTTGTATTGAAAAAGCCGGTCTCAGAGAAAATGTTTACGCTCTCATTAAACTTCACACGGAAAGTGATTATGCGTTTAATAGAAAGAATATTATTTTTATTCTTATTAAAAATATTTGCCAATATTAATTCAAAAATTAAATTACAAGTCATTGTTACCCTTACGAGGTTTTCTATAATAACTTTCCGAAGACTTTATCCGTATCTCCGGCTAACAGTTCGATGCTGTTCTACGTATAGCAAGAAGACAAATTACCTTGAAAGTGCCAGGGGACGTTATATTGTTTTTCCAGGTGTTGCCAGATAAATACTTGAGGACTTTATTGAGGTCCAGTAACTTAGCAATATTCCAGGTTTTATATGTTGTAAGGATTACCATATTGACATATTTATTTGTATGCGTTGACAACCGTCACTCTCCGTGAATTTGGGTTGTTGAGTGTAGAATTCTGCACGCCATTAACTTTGACGTCAAAATCCTCACGCTTCAGCTGGTTAAAAAACTTGCTGTAAATGACTGAAGGAATGGGAATGGTCTCAGAAAAAAGGTCATACGACAAGATCGAGGAATCATCAATCTTCACGATTTCCACGACAGTCAGTTGTACACCCCGGAATTGACAAGGATTATATCAAGTCAAGGAATGTCACGTCTTCGAGAACCTCACCCCAATTAATTCAATAGGCAAATGTCGGGCAGAAGAGAAAGAGGTATTTTCACTTGCTTTCTAAACAAATCGATCACGATCCCAGCAGTGCTATTACTGTTAAACATTTTGGTGTATCGGTTTTATTTACGATGGGGTACGTTATTTTCTGTGGACCTACTACAAAATCTGTTTACTAGAAATTATGAGAGTACATACATATGTACACCCGAGGGGTTTAACATAAATTCGGTCAGTTAGTGACTTTCAATTTGTTTGTATTTAGTTTTAGGGATAGGTCAGACGAAATTACCACCCACATAAACAGAAACTCGCCATGTGAATCTCTTCGGGTTTTTAGTAATTTGCAGCCAACACATATATTCAGTGAAGGCCAAATTGCATATGGAATGATTGCGTCGTCTTTAAAGACTGTACGTAAAGGTTGACTTACGAGAAGGTCGACCAAAATCTTCCACTGATGACGCCACTGTAGATCTGGTAAAGTTTAAAATTGTCGAAGACCCACGATTTACACAAGAAAGGAATGCTAATGAGCTGGTCTTGAATGCCATGACTACATCGCGAATATTAAGTAAGCATCTGGGATACACGAAAAAATATGCTCGATGGGTACCAAGAATTTTAAATGAGGTCCAATAAGGGGCTCAAGTGCATTTTGATCAATTTTTTCCGAAGAAATTCGAAAATGGTCAGTCTATCAACTTAGGCAGAGTCGTTACTGGTGACGATTCTTGGTTCTATAGGTACGATTCAGAAAGCAAACAGCAGTGCATGGTACAAGATGAGCAAACCCAGCCGCAAAATCTTTAGCAACAAAAATCAGCAGCAAAAGTAATGATGTCACTTACCTTCATCCGTTCTAAAACCGTAGGTGGTATTTGACTCGAAAAGGGGCAGACGGTAACTGTAAAATGGTACAACGAAGAGTGCATACCAAAAGTTTTAAGAAAATTGTATGAAAACAGGCAGAAAGAGGATTTGCGGCGCTACTTTTCACATCATGACAACGCGCCATCCCACAACTGGTCAACTTACAGAACTTTTTTGAATCGTCTCGTTAAAATGTTCCAGAAAATTTGGAAGCATTGATAAATGAAAAGTCATTTGATCTTCCGCAACATCAATCCATCATGTGAAGTCTTCTCAAAAGATGATTAGAAAGTGAAAAAAAAAAATATTTTTTAGATTATCAAACCATGAAAATTCAAATAAGAATGAGTAGGGAAGAATTCTGAGCGTATCCAATACAACAGTAAATATAATTTTTAGTTTAAATCAAATGTTAAAGTATGTGTGGAGCGCACACCACTACAGAAGCACGGAAAATTTGAGAGAGTTCCAACAAATACCACTACAAATGGAAATATTTAGAAACAAGAGAGGAATTTCTTGACACACACACACAAACACACACATACATTCGCACTCAAACATTGGCAAGCATGCTAAAAAGGTAAATTTGAGGTGAATTGTTGAGAGCGCAAAGCAGAATCAGTTGTGCGGCAACTGACAGTGCAGAAGGATGTAATGTTGCTCGATTTACTTACATAAATACAACTACGTTTATAATTACTGATAAATATAACAAATAAACAAAGCAGCATACAGTAAAATACGTCAAATGCGCGCACATTTTGGCGTTTAAATAATAAACGTAAAATAGTTAAACAATATATTGAAAAAAAATACACTTTACATTTGTGCATACAAACAAACATTAGGAGTATACGCAATCAAATGTTATGAAGACGCGACGTCAAGGGTTTGGGTTGCAGCAGCAGCGACGCGTCAAGAAAAGTAGCAATAGAATTCAAATTCAAGTGTATTTGAATTGACGCCGCATTCGAAATCAGTGTTATTAACAACAATTACAACAGCAATAATAATATAAACAACATTAGAAAGAGCAACAAGAACAATAGCAATAAACAACAACAACCAACGACAAATAAAGCATCAATACGAATTAAGCGACGGACTAAAATAGGGGGCCGACTGAGGGCAGTGAAATTCTAATGGAGGCATGCTGCTAACACCAGAGGAGGCAATGAAGTGGCGCAGCTGAGCTTATCATTGAGTCAATTGACATTGCATGTTGACAGTCAGTCGTCGAATGGCGCCCGATGAAGTGTGAAGCGTGCGTGTCGATACACGGATGGACGGACAATTAAAATAGCGAACCTATGCAAACAATAAGACAGCGCGTAGTGATACAACAAGCCAATAGCGATATGTGCGAATAAAGCGTGTATAAAAAACTAAAAAGAAACTAAAATCATAAGACAAAACGTATCAACGTAAACGAAATATTGCAAATATCAAGTTTTGGCAACATAAAAGACATAATTATTTGTGCTCAATACTAGTCGCCTTCCAGTTCCTACACTAATAGCTAGTGAGAAAGTAAAGAAAAGTTAAAAAACAGAATTAAAACTAAAAACCATTAACAGGTGTATATCCAGCATTTCCATATGAATTTGCTTGACGAACATAAAATTTAAAAAAAAAAATATATACTGAAAAACTTAACAATCAGCCGAACTATCCAGCAGCACCCACATTAGCACCAACAGCCAGCGACTCGTTAGGCGCATTAGTTGCGCTTCTGTCACGCAATTTTTCACATGTTCAACGTCCAAGAAGTTGCAAATCTATGTAAATATTATTGGCAAAAGTCCATTGAACTTGCAGCAGCCACGCTTTCTTGATCACGCTCAGGAAAATAAATATTGGCCATTCTGTGCCTGCGCGCTTGTGCCCATGCTTGCAACCCATGCTTGGCTCTTGCACTTCCCTCAACGAGCAATGAACTAACCAACTGCTAATGATGCCGCGTCAACGCTGCTGTCAGCAATCAATCAAGCGCGCAACAACAATGCCAATAGTTCTGTACAATAACAATTGGAACAGCAGCAGATTGCAGTGAAATTAAATAATATATAAACACATGTATGTGCGTATGTAAATCGTCGAAAAGGTCTAACGCTCTAACGGTCTAATGCATCAGCGATATCGGCTGTGGTCAAGCGCCAGTGACTTTAGGTGATTGCATTCATTGCGAATATCCTTGCGAGTTTGTACCCGGCGCGCGTATATGCATTAGGGTGTGTGTGTGTGTGTGCTCTGTGTGTCTAATTGGCAAATGGAAAGTGTGTAAAAATAATAAAAAAAAACCACAACTGTTTTCATAGAAAAATATTTCCGTTTCCCTAGGAGAGTTAAAATATTTTGTTAAAGTGTGTAATAAAAATTTCTGTGTAAGTTGTTAAACATTTCCAAAAACGAAGAAAAAAAATTATTTCAATTAAACTCTATGTGTAGCGGCATCTCTTAGACTGCAACTGATATAAGTACTGTTAAAAAATATTGTGTTTTATAAACTAAAAGAAACCTTTTTGCACAAAAACAACGAAGTACCGTCGCAAAAATTGCATAAACTTGAAAATGGATTTCCAGAGCGCAATGGAAACGTTTGCTGAGGCTTGGGTGGCAGCCAACGCAGGACCACAGGTGAGTTTGGCATTTTCAGCATGCTGCTTGGCGAAGAAAGACAATAAGTTTGTCAAAAATAAATAAATAAATAATTAAATCAATAAATATATAAAAAATTAATTAATTAATTAAGTCAATGAATAAATAAATAGATATATAAAATTAAAAAATAAAGATTTATAAAAATAAATAAAATAATTTTAAAAAGTATATAAAATGCCTTCTATATAGTAGCATCGTCCACAAGGCCGGTTTTTCATTCTCTTCCTTAGCGTTGAGGCCATTTTCAGGCACAAACCAAATTTAGAGAAAGTTTCATATTTTTATAAAACTTTTTGTGCAGCTTTTCTGTATTAAAAAACAAACAAAAAAACACATTTACTCTTTTATTCGTTGGTTTATCTTCAAGTTTTTCAAATGTTTCTTAACAGAATTATTTTTAATTATCTCTGAACCATAATAAATAGTATTTGTTATTTTTTTAATTTTTCGAGATCAAAAATAAGTTTAAAAAATATCTTTGCACGCTTTTGTGATCTAATTAACTAGAATTGAAAGAAAGCTATTTTACAACTTTGCCGTGTTAGAAATAGAAAAAAGGGGCTACTGATTATCAAAACAAATTGCTTTCACTAAACAAAAAAGGTGATTTACGGGAAATTTCGATGGGGTGTGTTGGAAAAGTCAACAAAAAGTGTAGAAAAACTACTCACAAATATGTTTTAGATATAAGAAATGTATTTTTTTATTTAAACTTTTTTCTAAATTAATTTTTTTCCTTTTAATTAAAAATTGTATTCAAGTTTTTAGCTTACAGACTTAAGATTTTCCACTGCATTTTGCTTCATAAACGCCCTATTGCAATCACTAATCTATTCCCCCTGGAATCGTTGACTTTCTCTGACAATTAACTAGAATTTGACGCCCGCAATAACCGAGCATTTTGTACTGTCATTCTGAAGATTTGGGTTCGAGTACTGATTCGTTTAACATCCAAAATTATAGAAAATTATTTTTATTAATTCCGAGTGTAATTTTGATATGAAATAAAAAGTTCTACTAAAAATCCATCCACCTTTCGGAGGCGGCTTAAAATAAACTTTAGGTCCCTCCATTTGTTGTAAGACATCAAAACGCATACCACAATATGAAGGATCAGCTGGGCCGATAATCGATTTAGCATCAAATTTGGAAATTTAATGTAACAAAAGACCCTTAGTGACCTAAATTAGTTGACACTGTTCCTTAGTTGCTCGCATCAGCTTTAACATTCTTAAAATAGTTTGATTACTAGTGTTCGATTCTAGTAGGTTGATATAATTTGAGGAAGTATAGTTCTGATGAGACCTCAAATTCCTACAACAGATCAGTCCAAAATAAAAGGTCCGTTATATGACAGATAGATCTATTTCTGAACATCGAACAGTTATTTTCGCTAGGACTTTCGTTCTAATTAGGAATAGTAGAGCTCCTCCTCCAATTAGCGCTGTGCACTTAGATATTTTGCAAAAAAAAATGCAGATTTTCGCTTCTGTAGGTTGGAAAAGGACTCCAGCTCTTATGTGGGACAAATCAAATGAAGCTATGCTTAAATGACTCGTGTTCTTGCTAGACTATGAAAATTATTAGTTCTATTATCGAATTCTGTCATTGGTTCGTTGATATCATGGCATGGATTTTCTATCTCGATTATTTTACGCCAATAAGAGGAAACTTGGTGAATATGATTTTACTTTCATTAGAATGGAACCTCGCAAAAAAATGTAATGTGTCTTTAAGAAGCAGTAAATTGCGTACATATTTTCTGTTTTTAAGAAGAAAATTTGAAAAGGTCTCAGTTTTCGAAGAAATCGTGTTATGAAAGGCATTTTTTCCGTGTAAAAAGATTCTTATTTTCGGATTCCAAGCAAAAACTAATATTTTTAAAAGTATGTACGCATGTAAGAGTATTTTTGTATAGATGCACTACTATAACGCTGATTTTGTACTGATAACAAGATAACTTCAGACTTGATGTCTCCGTTGATATACTAAACACTGGCACTTTTACGTCTAAATGCCAGTCTGTGAGAGATCACACAGCATTTGATATATATTTCATATTTACATATGTATAAATATGTATATGTACATATGCATTATAAGTTCTTTAAAATAACTTATGAGCTTTTTCTGTATTCACGTGAATATATATAATATATGCGAGTATACATAATTAAATATATACATCAGCAACATGCCGACGGCACTGATTTTTATAAATATTTTTAGAATAACAAAAATTTTAATATTTAGTTTAAATATTAATTGAGTATTAATATTTTAGATATAAATTTTTATTTTATTAATTAAAGCTATTACATTAAAAGTTATTATTTCGTTATTTTAATAATTAGTAACTCTTTTTAAATAAATAAATTTTTAATATTTTAAAAATGAATATTCGGAGATAATCGTTTGGCTATTTTTTTTTTCGTTTTAAATATTACAATAATTTATCGATTATTGAGAAGATAATAGCATTCGCCAATATTAAATTAAATAACAATAGTAAAATTTAACATTTTTTTATTTTAAAAATTAGTTATTCATTTGAAAATGTGGGTGTTAATAGTTTTAAAAATTAAAATTATGAAACAATCGTCTTTACCAATTTTAATGGAAATTTCGTTCGTCGTTTTTTTGGTTTAATTGGAAAGACAACAAATGCTAAGTAAAACAAACATTTTAACATCCACACACACGCGGTATAATCGCAAATTAACGCACTTGTGCACGCAAACACGTGCAGGTGTATAAACAGCAAACCCAGCAACTCACAAGTACATGCGTTTGTACCAAATGAGAAAGATAAAAACACAAAAAAAAACACACGAAACGCACAATGAAAATTATAATCTAAGTAACTGACTTGTCGCACATTTTTGTTTTGTCTTTTATTGTTATTTTATGATTTGCTTTTGTTTTTCCTGTTGCTTAGTGCTTACCGATGCCTCTTTACTAATAAGCAAATAAAGGTGTTAAAGAAAGTAAAGGCGTTTTTAAGCATGTAAATATATGCATATATATATATGCAAGTGTGTATGTACAATATGTATCTGCATAAATAAAAGTATTTCTCTGTACCATTGTGCAACTATTAGCGCAGATTATGATAATCCTTATCGCTGAGCTGTGCTGTGTTGTCCAAAAACAAACACTGACACTGTGAATGAGAGAAGGAGGACGTACGTGTATGTAGTTCCACAGTGTCTGCGGATTTAGGGGCATACCCATTACAGCAGGCGTCAACTTACAGCAGTAATGCGAACTGTTTGTTTGTGAATTGGCAAAATAAATAGGTAATTTAAAAGAAGCATTTTTTCCAACTTCAATCATTTTTGATGAAACTTTGACAACATATTCAATGCTTTGGAAAAAAATCTTTAACTTCTGGTCAGAGTTTACGGACCACGATTTTTTTTTTCTTTGTATTTTAATTTTCTTTATCTTATTTTATTTTGCTCTTCTTCATCTTATTTTTATTTACTTTAATTTAATTTAATTTTAATTTTTTATTTTGTTTTATTTTATAATATTATAATATATTACACTATATTTTATTTTATTTAACATTATTTTATATTATTTAATATATTTCACTTTATTTGATATATTTGATTTTGTTTAATTTTTGGTTATTTAATTTGATTTTATGTTGTTTTACTTTTTTATTTTATTTGATTACATTTTATTTCACAATTTTATTATAGTTTATTTTATTGTGTCTTATTTTATTTCATATTATTTTTCTTATTTTCTTTTTTTGGTTTTTTATTATTTGTTTATTTTATTTTTTTATTTTATTTATTTTTGGTTTCTTCTATTTTTTTTTTATTTTATATTATTTCATTGTATTTGTTTTATTTTATTTTATTTCATATTATTTTATTTTATTTATTGTGTTTTATTTTATTATTTGTATTATATTTTTTTTATTATTATAGTAAGTTATTTTTTGAGTCCCATATTTTTGTGGATTACTGTAATGATTATAAAATCCGGCCATAAAAAAGCTGGCAAAATATTTCCTGACTCACATCTGCGGCATTTTGCGGGCACAAACAAAACATTCAAAACAATTTGTAAATAAGCATACAAAAACAATTTATATACGCACATACACACGTAAAAAGCGTTATTTGTATAAGTACATCCGTAGGCACGTTTCTTTAGCGGCTTAGTTTGGTAACTCCGCTGCCCGCTCTCCCCATTCCCCTCATTCACCCACAATCGGTTGAAGAGACCGAAAGAAACACGCTTTTAATGTGGGCAATTTTTTTTTCAACGGCACTCAACAACACACCGCACAGATAAGATAATCCTGTTGACCCACTAAGCAAATGCGCATAAAGCGTAAGCGTTAGCGAGAAGGGTTACACGTCCAAACAACAAAACTCACAAACTCATTCCCCTGCAAACAACGCGGCATTCAGTAATTGAGTGGCAAAACAGCTTTACTGCACGAATCCGAATATAGTTTGTATGTATGTAGGTATGTGTGTGTGTATATATGTGCATCTACTATCTACGCTCAAGCGCTGGCAGCTCAGTTAATCCAAAAATATCTGATAAAAATAAAAATCAATTGAATTTTAATCGTAAGTCATGCGATTGCGCGTGCAAATATGATATGTCGCAGCCAAATATGCAAACATAGGTACAATGTTGTTGCCCGTTGAACATTTAGTGATCTGTTGGTTATTTTTGCTGTTTATTTTTTTACCGCAATATAATTGATTATGTCCCAAGTGTGTAATTATTTTATCTCTAAGTGTATAGTTTTTTGATAAATTCTGATTTAATATTACTTTAGCTTATTTTTTCTACCGGCTTATCGCGCCGCAATGCCACTAAATACAGTTATACATACACATTTATAAATAATAGTTAATTTGCTAGCCTTTGACGTTGTACCCTGCTGGAAAGTTGTAAATTCGTTTATAGGAATAATTTTTATACATGCAATTGGAACAGTT